TCATTGTTAACTCAGCCCAGGCACAATGCAATCTTTCCATATTGTCTCGTGAAACTGAAGGTTGAAAGTGGTGATGACTAAAATAATCCTAAGCAAAAAAAAAAAAAAAAGCACATTAGCCTAATCATGGCCTGATAACATGACATATGCAGTGTTTATTACCAGTAGAGAGACACCTGGTGTGCATGGTCTCTGAGACTCAGTGTCAGGCCAATTATGGACCAAAGGGGCAAACATGCTTTCATTTTTCCTTCAGGGATTATCCTGATCGCTTAACATCACTGGTGATGGAGCAGTCTGGTCAAAATGTAGCATGAGCAGCAGTTTTTTGGATCACTTGTGTTTATACAGGTCACTGAGCAAACAAACCTTAATATTCTTCCTCGCACAAGTCACAATTACTACCACGAGATCCAAGTTTAAGCATTAACTCTTCACTGATTCATATTCAGACAGCAATAATATTTGCACTATAATAACTATGTGGCAAAAACAACCAGATACTGTATAAATGATTCAGAGACTATGCCATTGACTTTTTAAATCCTCACCTGAGGATATGTTTATTGACTTTAGAGAGAAGGGGAGGGGGAGAGAGGGAGAAATTTGGATGTGAAAAAGAAACATTGGTCGGTTGCCCCCCATATGTGTCCTGACTGATATTGAACCTGCAAACTTTTCGTGTGCAGGATGCTCCAACCAACTGAGCCACCTGGCCAGGACACCCACTGACTCTTAATTAATTATAAAAGTCAGCTGAAAGGAAACTTTGAGAGCATCTGGCTCAACTGTCACTTTACAGATGAGAAAAATGGAGTTTGGCACTGCAAAGTCTAGAAATATTACTGGTTATTACATACCAATAAAGAAATAAAAATCAAGGGGTAGGAATGAGGTAATGGAGATCAACCAAATTCCTCATACTCTTGGTTGAAAATTCTGTGCTATGGATATGACCAAGAGAAGAACTGAAAATGAAACCAGTCCTGATATGACCATAAACTAGGTGTGAACTTGAGTAAATACCTTGGGCCTCAGTTTTGTCATTTATGAAATGGGGTCACTGCCATTGCTGCAGCTTACTTCCTAAGGTTCTTATAAAGAAAAAACAAAACAGTAGATGTAAGAAATGATAATAGTTCTCAGCTCCAAAAAGAGACGTCTTTTGCCCTGGCTGGTATGCTCAGTGGATTGAGCACAGGCCTGCAAACCAAAGGATCACGGTTCAATTCCCAGTCAGGGCACATGCCTGGATTGCCCACCAGTTCCCAGCAGGAGACACATGAGAGACAACCATACATTGATATTTCTCTCCCTCTCTCCTTTTCTTCCCCTCTAAAGATAAATAAATTTAAAAAAAAAATTTAAAGACATGTCTTTTAGCAATTTCTCCAGCTCATTTATATAATAGGAACCCTGTAACAGCATCCAAAAGCCTACAGTGCCTTCCTTCCCCAGGATGTCATCCAACACCCCTTATAGTCTATGACTGGAAAAATTTAAATATTTGAAAAATAAATGCAATTAGAAAAACATGTTACTAATGTTTATTCCCCCCCCCTTTCTGTCTGTCCATTTTAAGATCATCTACCTTTTTTGATGACTTTGCTCTTTGAGTATGGAATCCTTTATTTTATTTATTTTTTAAGCATTTTATTTGATTGTTGTTCAAGTACAGTTTTCTGTCTTTTACTCCCATCCCAGCCCACCCCCTACCTCCCTCCCATTTCCACCCCCTTAGTTGTTGTCCATGTGTCCTTTATACTAGTTTCTGTAAATCCTTCCTCTTTTCCCCTTAAATTCCCTCCCCTCTCCCCTCTGGTCACTGTCCCCCTGTTCTCTATTTCAGTGTCCTTGGTTATATTTTGCTTGCTTGTTTGTTTTGTTGTTTAGCTTCCTGTTAAAGGTGAGATCATATGGTATTTGTCTTTCACCGCCTGGCTTATTTCACTCAGCATAATGCTTTCCATGCTGCTTGAAATCCTTTATTTTAGAATGACTCAGTGTAAAAGGGAAAAAATCCAATCCTGGTTTCCCTCTCTTTGTCACAGAACTGCTGAGTATGCTCTTGATCAATGTAGTAGGACAAATATCCATCATTCTAAAAGGTTTTAATTTCAGAAGCTGTTTGCGGCTAGGAACAGCCATCTCAGCAATGTGTTGTGGCACTAAGAAACAATAGAAAGACATCATGTGTGCTCCTCTGTGTAGTATTTTTACTCATGAATCTGAAGAAAAACTGCTGGTCTACCATTTTAATCTCTGGAGATATACATATGTACACACACACGCACACATGCAAACACACACCACATAAGCACACAGGCATGCACTTTCCCTTGCTCAGTGGGAAAAAATTTCTAACCTTCTGAGAGGATTTTTGCATTAATAGATTGTGTAGTCCCACTAAGCAGAAAATCAGAGTGACATTTTTTAGAGAAATGAACACTGTTCCATTTTTTTTGGTCTAAATTACCAAAAGCCTTTACAGTCTTGATATGGTTCACTTAAAGATCATTACTCATGTTACCAAGTGGGCGGCAGGCTGATCGTGCCTACACAAGGTATTCTTCTGGGTGTTGGAAAATGACAGGAGTTAGTTACAGTACTGAACATGTTGAAATTAACTCAGACTTACAAAGTTCCATCAGCACCATATAAGGGATAATATTTACCTCTCAGCTGAAGTCAGGGAAAGAGAGGCAGAGGAATGAGTGTGTTCAGTGGTTTATAATTGAAAATGTTCGAATCAACAGACAGGCTAAAGATCCTATAGGATGTTGCTATCAATTAACAATACAGCCACTGGTTGCTGTGTTTAATATAAACTACTAATGAGAAATTAGAAGTTTATCTTTAAAATATCTGTCAATTTCTCCCAGCTTTGTTATTTTATTTGGTACATAAACACTGTTTGCCATGTGTCATTTTTCACTAAGATCAAACAAGCACCATTCTGAAAGAGACTGAAGAAATTATTATTTGTAAAAACTGAAGCAAAACCAAATTAAAATCATCTTGTGCCTCCCCAAAGAAGTGTCTAAGGTCTTAATTAGCTTTCTTCCCTTATCTCTGGTAAAACAGGCCCACAAAGCTTTCTGCCTCAGTTCCACAAACGCATTAGAAAAATATGTGATCACCCACATGGAAGATGGATAAGCTCATTTTCATCCAATTTGAGGCTTACTGGCAGCAATGTGTGTACATTTGTACATTTTGAATAATAATTATGGAAAATTATGGGAGATGCTGTTAGGAAAATTGGTTTCATCAGACTTAAGCAGGACTATTCTTCTAATACTTGTACAGGAAGAGGTCTAATATTATAATAACACATGTTGCAAAAGAAATTTCAAGTCATTTTAATGGAAATTATTCTCTAACCTAGGATGATACACTCTGTTATTTAGAATTTGATTCTGCTCCAGTGTGTTCCTCAAGTAGCAATCAGAAATTAATTGAAATTTAATTTTAAAATATTTGATGCATGTAAAGGATCTGCTTTTGAAGAGTGCCCTAAAGAAATGTATCTACAGACATTCTGGGTTGCTTCTCACTCTTTATTAGCCAGTTCCAACTTTTTGGTATCTTGGTGAATGCTGTCTTTATCAAACACAAATAATTATGGTATTGATTTCTTTTCACATTTAAGATTACTACCTCCAAATGAAATGTACATTTTAAAGTGTGAGTCATTCTAAACTCATGCTTTCCTACATTTCACAGAGCTCTTGCATCAGAAACTACAATAATGAAAAAGGAGGTCAATTGCCTAAATGTTCTCTTGCTCTGAAAGCAAAACAGGCTTCCCACGGGTAAATATTTGTATTGTTGATGATCAAATGACTTTTTATCATGCAGAAAGTTTCTCTGTTTTTGTTTTTTTTTTTTACATATTCCAAGAACACCCACAGGGGAGTAAGGGGAAAACAGGGTTTTGTCAAGGACCCCCCTCAAATTCTGTCTGACCTTCACCTTGCAACGATGCAACTGCTCCTTTACTCCATGCTCCAGGCCGGCAAGACCCAGCTGCTTCTCAGTAGTCTGGTTCTGGGTGTGGAGCTGCCCCATATCTGCCCAGAGACAATCTGAATATTCATCACTACCTCACTTCCAACTGGTGGGGATTGTAACACAGGAAGCAATATATGAATTTGCTTCCCACAGAATTCAGAGTTCTGATTTCTGTAACATTTACTATATGGCAAGGGTATTTTATTTTATTTTTCTAAAAAAGAAGTTTAAACAGCAAGATGCTTGACTTGAAGGGAAAAGTGTCTAGGATTTATTTCCTTAGAATAATTTATCCCTACTTAAGGACAGATTGCCCTACATGTATGTAACAGCTACATACAAAAAAGTCATAAAATTGTCCTTGGTTGTACCATGATAAATGAAAAACATTAAAATTCTACAGTTTACCATGGTATGCAAAGATTTTTATGTTGTTCATGTTTGTTAAACAGTGAGAGCAAACTAACTTACTGGAATATAAAAATAAGAGCTGAATGAGCACACCATCTATGGAGAAAGGGAGTATGTTGATCAAAACATACCATTGGCCATTTAGCTTAAAAAATGAAAATGCGCCCTGGCTGGTGTAGCTCAGTGGATTGAGTGCGGGCCTGTGAACCAGACAATCGCGGTTCGATTCCCAGTCAGGGCACATACCTAGGTTGCAGGCCGGTTCCCTGCAGGCCGGTTCCCAGCAGGGGACGCACGAAGGGCAACCGTACATTGATGTTTCTCTCCCTCTCTCCTTCCCTTCCCCTCTAAAGAGAAATAAATAAAATCTTTTAAAAAAAAGAAAAGAAAATGCTTGTACACATACATAAGTTACTTTATGTACAGTAAAGGAATGGGGGAAGAGGAAAGTTAAAGAATAGAGGAAACTATACTGTTGTAGTTAGGAAGTAATGGAACAAAATTGTGGTTTTTTAACTGAGAATGTGTTCTTGGTCTAGAGGAACAGTCCTAGAGTAAAGTAGCAAGTTGTCTTTTTAGTAGACACATCCTATCTGCTGCTGGAACACATTAATTGTATCTTCGGTCTCCATTTCCAGCTGTGTAGGTATGTCTGTTTCATTGACTGACTGTCCATCAAATCAGAATCTGATCTGCCTCTTTAACCAACCCTGTTGTTCACAGTAGATTTTCATTAGTTTACTAAGTGGTATATGCCTCTTAATCTTAAACTGCACCACCGAATCATCCTGCCCCACCACCTTCAAATTAATGAAATCATTGTTTTCAGTCTTGACTCTTTTCTTGGGCTTTTGGTGGGCCATGGTGAGTGAGAGTCTCCTCAGCTATTGCTTCACAAACAAGGTACAAGGTCTGAGCGCTAAACGAGCCTGGCAAGTCTGTTTTAAATATCTCACTTTGCAGTCAGTCTTCAGCCATTTTATACAGGTCACCCTACACATATACATTCAGACAGTCCCATAGCTTCAATTTGTACCACTTCACTAATCTTTATATACTCTTAAAGTGTTCATTTTTTTATATAGAAGGGAAAATCATTATTCAGCTTAGACATAAATAACTATTATTTGGCATGTTAGTAATCCCAATAATGGTAATAGCAGCTATCATTTATCAAGTGCTTGTGTGGTTTAGGCAACATGCTATATGCTTTTCTGTATGCTTTTTTTTTCAGATCTCATGTAATCCACAGCAAAACTCCCATCAGATCAGTACCATTCATTTTAAAAATGGGGAAGCTGAGGCTCAGAAAGATGAACTTACCCAAAATCATAACAGCTAATAAGTAAGAGAGATATCATTTGAATTCTACTTTGTCCTTTCCAAACTTATATTCCTGACCTTCAAGCTCATGAGTCTTAACTCAGTCTTCACATTAGAATGACAATTAAGGTTGTATCTCTAGAAGTGGGAACCAGATATCAGTGATTTTTAAGACTTCCAAATGTTTCCATTTAGCTAGAAAATTTCTGAAGTTTTACTGAAATTTTATTATTGAAAATATTTGTATGACAGAGGTCATTTTTTATAGGTTGCTGTATTAGAAAAACTCAATTTTCCACTTGAGTCTTCTTTGCTATTCACACAAAACATTTCTCATCACCAAGTGTGTGAAGGTTTTTACCTCTACACCAAGCAATCATCTGTGAAACCAGCCAGGTATTCTATAATTTCACTCAATTCTGACACTATGTACCTAGATATAGTGTCAGATCCCACAGGTTAAGGCCTCAGTCCCACAAGACTATGCTAACCCACATATACTTCAGATGTCAGTTACAAGGCCAGATTATCACCTGTGTTTTTCACCAATTGGCTATAGAGCAGAGGTTCCAATGATACCCTTCCTTATATTTTATTAATTTGCTAGAGTGGCTCACATAACTCAGGGAAATATTTTCTTACATTTACCAGTTTATTGAAGGATATTATAAGGATATATTCCAATGAAAGAGATGCAAAGGGCTCAGAGCTCCCATATCCTCTCTAGGTGCACCAGTCTCCTCAAATCTCTACATGTTCACCAACCTGGAAGCTCTCCAAACCCCATCCTTTTGGGTTTTTTATGGAGCCTTCATAACATAAATATTATTTATTAAATCATTGGCTATTGGTGACAGATTCAACCTCCAGCCCCTCTTCCCTCCCCAGACATCAGAGGAAGAGATCTAATCACAGGGTTGGTTCACCTGGGAACCAGCCTCCATACTTAGGTGCTTTTCAAAAGTGACCTCATTGACATAAAATACCTTTATCACTTATGAAATTCTAAGAATTTTAAGAGCTGTGAGCCAGTAACTATGGCAGAAGACCAAATATATATGAGAATGCATTTTGGTCACCTGAATCACCAAATATATCACAGTCCACCCCTGATCTTCCAATATGGATCATTTATAGCAAAACAATCATACAACTCAAAAGATACTGGCACATTACCAGCATCCCATTTGGTGACTAATAACTATCCACTCCATCATCATATCATATGAAAATGACTCCCAGAACAAGGCCACTTGGATTTGAAGGCTTCCATTTGATTTTGTAAGGTAAGTAGCCATGTTTGATCTTAGGCAAGTTATTTCCCCTGTCCAAGTTTCAGTCTCCTTACAATAGAGGTGGACTGGATGAGATCTAAAAATCTAGTCAAGTTTTAAGGTCTCAGGATCAAACCCTAGTGCACTGTTGGTGTGAATGCAGACTGGCACAACCACTATGGAAAACAGTATGGAATTTCCTCAGAAAACTAAAAATGGAACTGCCTTTTGACCCAGCAATGCCACTGCTGGAATTGTATCCTAAGAACCTTGAAATACCAATCAAAAAGAACCTATGCATCCCAATGTTCATAGCAGCACAATTTACAATAGCCAAGTGCTGGAAGCAACCTAAGTATCAACCAGTAAATGAATGTATCAAAAAACTGTGGTACGTTTACATGATGGAATACTACATAGCAGAAAGAAAGAAGGAGCTTCTACCCTTTGTAACAGAATAGATGGAACTGGAGAACAGTATACTAATACTAAGTGAAATAAGCCAGGCAGTAAAAGATAAGTACCACATGATCTCACCTATAAGTGGAACCTAATCAATAAAAGAAACAAGCAATAAAAATGTAACCAGAGACATGGAACTAAAGAACAAACTGACAGTAACCAGAAGGGGAGGTAGGAGAGGATAATGGGGGTAAAAGGCAGAAGGGTTTTCAGGAACATCTATAAAGGACACATGGACAAAACCAAGGTGGAGTGGGAACATGGGTGGAAGGTGAGGATGGCTGGGGTAGGGGTGACTGGTGGGGGGAAAGTAACTGTACTTGAACAACAACAACAAAAAAGATACCAGGATCAATGGTTGAAATTGAAATAGGAAGATCCACTTACTTAAAAACCTAAAGCTAGATGATTTTACTGGTCATATAACCAGAGCTAACTTTTTTCAACACATTTTGATTTTTCCACCTAAACAACTCGTCATACCCTTCCTTTGGTTTTGTGATGCTGGCCAGAATTTCTATTGGCACTTGTCCACATTCATACCTAAACCCTTATTTGTTGGGCATAAAGCCACTACTATCCCCACTGTCTTTCTTCCTTTCATTCCTTTAATAAATATTTAGAGTAGATACTATGGGCCTAGCACTGTTCTATGAGCTATGAATATATCATCAAACAAACCAAACAAAAATCCTGCCCACATGAAGCTTATAGTCTACTGGAGGGACATAGATGACAAAGGACTACATAGATATTTAGTCTCTTTAGTGGTGACAAGTACAAACAAGACAAAGAAGGCAGAATATGGAATTAGAAAGATGAGGGTGCTATTTTGCATAAGGACCCTCTGAGGAGGAGGTGGTGGAACAGCAGCTTGAGTGAAGGGAAAGGACAAAGTTATCTGATGTAATAATATTGTAGGAAGCTGGACTAGAACATTGTTCTAAAACTGTACTGTAGGACTTCAGAGGATACTTCATGGGTATCTGCAATTTGGAGATAATAGTAGCTCACCTTATTCTAATGTAGCCTTCTTAGCTCTTGTCTTCAGTGCCTTCATTGTCTTTACTCACTCATGCAACATAGCTATAATTAAAGGCATATTGGTTAAAAGAACCAAGTCAGATAAACAGTGCATTTGTCCTCTGTTCAACCTTATAAGAGGTGTTTGACCTTGACCTTTACCTTGTGTAGAAAGTAAGGAAAGTGGTGAGATAACAAATAAAAACTTTTTCAATATAAAAACTGATACAAAATAATTGCTCAATAAAATAATTCTTGCAAGTCAAAATATGGGGTAGAAGGAGAACTGGTCCTTGAAACAGGAGACATGTGATGAAGTTTCAACTCTACCACTTAGACACATGATCAAGAATAAGTCATTTAACTTTTCTGAGCACCATATTTGTCATCTCAGCTTTAGAAGTGGGGAAAAGAATTCATTCTTGACCCTGAGGGTTGTTACATCTTTAAGAAAATTATTTATTTATTATTTAATTTTTTATGTTTAAAGAGGGAAAGGAGAGAGAAAGAGTGGGAGAGAAACTTAAATGTGTGGTTGCCTCTCATGTGCCCCCTACTGGGGACCTGGCCTGCAACCCAGGCATGTGCCCTGACTGGGAATTGAACAGACAACCCTTTCATTCACAAGTTGGCACTCAATCCACAGAGCCACACCATCCAGGGCCATTATATTTTCTAAAATTAAAATTTATAGAACATGGTTTAAACATTTGAGGTTTGTTCTTTTTTTCAATTAGATGAGAGAATATGATGGTAAAGAATAAGATGTGACCTGAGCTCAAGGTTCAAGATCATGTATTTATTGATACTTGGCAATACAAATAACCACTCTAAGTCATTTTATTTTATTTATTTTTAGAGAAAGGGGGAGTGAGAAAGAAAGGGAGAAAAACACCAATATGTGTTTGCCTCTCACATGCCCCCAACCAAGGATGTGGCCCATAACCCAGGCATGTGCCCTGACTAGGAATTGAACCAGTGACTCTTTGGTCCACAGGCCAGGGCCCAATCCACTGAGCCAGACCAGCAAGGGCTGTAAGGTAATTCTTAAAAAGTCACAAACACAGGCAATTCAGATATACTTCAGCACTCATTCTTAACTTTTCATTCAGTCACTCAAATATGACAAAATGGTTTCTTAATTTTTTTCTATATGGAATTATTAGAGCACAGATGTTTATAACATGAGGGATCTTAGAGTTCATCTGGTCCAATCCTATCTTTGTACAAATTAATGAAATTAATCCCAGAAAGGTAGAGTGCCTTAGCAAAGGCACAGTGAGTTAGTGAGGGATCCAGAAGAAAATCAGATCCCCCAACTCCCTCCAGTACTCTGGAGGGAGCATGTTATAGGAATCTTGTTCCAGGAATCTTGTCACATGTTACAGGAATCTTGTCTGCTCCATTCTGTTTCAAAGCCTCAGCCCACTTATTTTATTGCATTTTGAAAGGAGTCTTTGTTAACAAAATGTACCCCTTAGGTATTTTTCATAAATAAATTATCTATGTTTCCTTATCTGATTATAGCCACATGCAGATATAAATGTGGCCTATTGCAAATCCCCCATAATAGCTTGTGCTGGTAGTTGAAACAGTACCAAGAGTTGAACTGTGTTCAACTATAAATTTATTTCTCTGGGGCCATTTAAACAAACTACAATCAAATTCCTCTTACCCTTATAAAAATTGTATTTGAATGCAAGAAAAAAAGAAAGGGACAAATGGCCTTGTAAGCCAAACACCATTAAAACCCACAGATGGGTTAAGTTGCCAGAAAAATT